ATGGTGGGTCAGTCTTGCATAAAAAGTTAGTAAGACCCACTATCATGCAAAAAAATAAAGTTAGTATAATTTAATCATAAGTAACTTGCTAAAGAATCAAAATACACTGTTTCATACTTAAATAATTCGAATTGGTCAAAAATTAAAGAACAAACGATGTACAGAATCATATTTTCTAAAAGGTAGCGTAAACAAATTTAGTAGAAACTGAACATGTTGAGAGAAAAAAATTAATATAAAATCCTAAACGAAATTCAATCGAAAAATCTGGAACTTAAAACAGAAAGAAACTACCCAAAGATGAATTTTTTCAGAAAAGTTCAAAACACGAAAAGTGTTCCGAATAATATTTTACTTCAGTTTACGTGAAACCAATAAAAATGAGCTCGTTTCGTGGGCTAAAACAGTCTCTAAAATCTGCATTGCTAAAATGAATCAAAACTACAATAACCAAGATCATCCGATTATGAGTTCTAATCGATCTTTTTAATAAAAATTTAAAACACAAAAGTTGTCTAGAATCACGTATACATGCCTCTGCTCTAATTGCATAATTTATGGAGGTCGTTTACTATTTTTGAAGATGTACAAATCAATACAATTCAAACTATACATATAAGTTCATATTTAATTCTTTGTACTTTAACTCCACCACTTTTACACATAAATCCCATGTGCCTCCCGTATACCTAACACCGCTCCGAAACCAAACTTGCACGAGGATATCGCATCGAGTTTGACTCACACTCCCCAGATGATTAACACATACGTACGCGCGTAAATCAAAGCATTCATCTACTCATGAAAATGAGGCAACAATATATATATATATATATACACACACAAAACATCTCACTCATGAGAATAAACATAACAATGTCAAGCCTAAGAGACATTCAAATAAATCTCATAATCCTCACTTTTTTGTTATACACTCTTTCTCACTAACACTCAAATAAAACAACAATACATGGAGTCATGGTGGAGTATAAAGAATTTATCCATGGGTTCTTAATTTATTTTAATTTCATATATCCATGAATGTGATTACAACCATAAAATAAATACATACAAAAACCTTAAACCTTATGTACACATCTAATCAAATCATGATATCAATTCATCATCTACAGACAAATACAAAATCAAACCAATATCAAATCAATAAAAATAAATAAATAAAAATAACGAATTAAACATAAATCAAAAGAAGTGAGGTTGTACTTACAATATTTTTTTTTAAAGATCAAAGAATAACTTAGAGAATTAATAGAGCTACCCAAATAAAACCCTAATATTCTCTTCTTCATTTTTTTTTTCCCTCTCTACCTCACCGCTCTTTTCACTCTCTCTCTTATACACTCACACAATCCCTCTCTCGGCGGCTGCACTATCTCTCTCTCTCTCTCGCTCAGCTGCTCTGTTTCTCTTTTTTCCTTAATTTTTATAACCTAAACACTTGTTATATGACCTATAGTTATATAAGTTATTATATAATACATATAAATACAACATAATTAAAACATAATTAAATATGATATATATTTTATAAATATATAAAACACTTTTTTTTATATATAAAATATATAAATATTTGAATTACTTTTATATAATTGATTATCACGTTAAATTAATTAAATGCCATATTAAATTCTCATAGATCCACATAATTAAGAAAGCCAAGCATAAAATAAAGTAATAATAAATAATAATAAATAAATAATGACCTACGAGTTAACACAAAGTTAGAAATTTACAGAAAAGCTCTTGAATCTAAAGGATTCCGGATAAGCAGAACAAAGACAGAATACATAGAGTGTAAATTTAGTAACAGTAACAATGAAAGCAGAGGATGAGTGAAGATTGAGAACAAAGAATTGCCTAAGAGTGAACATTTTCGTTATTTAGGGTCGATTATCACAACAGTGGGAGAGATTGATGTAGATGTGGCCCATAGGATTAAGACGGGATGGTGTAAGTGGAGAAGTGCGTCTGGGATATTGTGCGATAAACGAATACCCACTAGACTAAAAGGTAAGTTTTATAGAACGGTTATTAGACCAACTATGTTGTATGGGACAGAGTGTTAGGCAACTAAGAAACAACATGTAGATAAGATGAGTGTGGCTAAGATGAAGATGCTAAGGTGGATGTGTGGTAAGACTAGACAAGACAGGATTAGGAATGAGTGTATTTGGGAATGGGTAGGAGTAGCACCGATAGAAGATAAGTTGAGAGAGAATCGTTTGAGATGGTTTGGTCATATTCAACGGAGGCCAACAGAGGCAGCAGTGAAGAGATGCGATGCTGTAACGGTAGATGGAAGTGTTAGGGGACGAGGTAAGCCTAGATTAGGCCTGTAAATGGATCGGATTCGGATCGGATCTGTCAAAATCCGAATCCGATCTGATTATGTCAAACCTGAATCCGATCCGAATCCGTTTAGTCTATATCCGATTATAGATATCCGAATCCGAATACGATGATTTCGGATATCCGATCCGATAATCAGATCCGATCCATTTATTTATTTATTGAGCTACAATTTTATATAATTTGATTTTTTTTTCATTTTGTGTTTTTTTTTATTCAAATTGAGAATACTCGGATCGGATTATCGGGTTATCGGGTCGGGTCGGATTTTTGCAGATTCAATCCATTTAATAAATGGATTAAAACAGATTCGGATTATCGGGTTATCGGATCGGATTTTTTGTAAACGGATTCGGATTATCGGATCGGATTCGGGTCGGATTCGGGTTAAATCCGATCCATTGACAGCCCTAGCCTAGATTAACGTTGACTAGCGTTTTAAATAGAGATATAAATCTACTTAATTTGACTAATAAAATGGCCTTTGATAGGGCCACGTGGAGAAGAATGATTCATGTAACTAACCCCATTTGATGAGACTTAAGGCTTGGTTTGGTTTGGTTAAATAATGACCTACGAAAAATTAGGATCGCTACAATGAGACAATAAAATTAAGGATAAATTACAAATACATACCATAAAGTTTGCTTAAAATGCGATTTGTGGTTTTAAAATTTATATCCTACTCTTTGAAATTTTTAATTTCATAATAAATGATCCATTTTGTTAATAAATTAGTGAGTCAATTAAAATTTTAATAATGTCAAAAATTTATTTCAATTAATAAATAAGATAATTTTATCATTATATAGAAAAACGTTAGAAATTTTATTATTTTAATTAATTTAGTTGAATAAAAAATTCTAATAAATGTGTACTTATAATTTTTTAAAGTATAAGATGCAATTCATATTTAAAATAATAATAATAATAATAAAAACAGGTACGCATTACCCCAACATATGACCATTTTATCTGCAAAATACTATCAGTTCACTGTTATCCATCTATAATTTACTTTGAATGTGTTTGTATGATAAAAATTAAATTGATGAAATTTGGAATTTATGAGTTAATGGAATTTGAACCATTGATTATTTTTTTTGAATAAATTTTGAATTCATAAATCTAAATTTATAGGGTAAATTACAAATACACATTCTAAGGTTTAATTAAAATACGAATCACTCTTTGTGGTTTTAAAAAATTACATTCCACCCTTGAGATTTTTAATTTCATAACAAATCGTATCTTTTATTAATAAATCATCAAGTCAATTAACAGTTTTTAATGATGTTAGAAATATATTTCAATTAATAATTTAAGTAACTTTATTATTGTATAAAAAATCAATTATGAATTTCATTTTTTTAATTAAGTTTGTAAATAAAAAATTTTAATAAAAAAATATTTATAATTTTTTAAATCACAAAAAATCAATTTATACTTTAAGCATATTTAAGATTTGCTCAAATTTTTATAGTATTGTACCTGGAAAATATCGTAACACTGTCTCCTGCATTTAGAGGGTACAAACAATAAAATCTCCAAACGGACCTACTATAAATTTTTTTTCAAAAGAAAGACATAAACACCCCCATAACATCCCATAAATTACTTTGGAGCAGGATTCCTTCAATTTAGAGGATAATTTTTTTTAGCAGAAAGACATAAACACCCCATCACATCCCATAAATTACTTTGGATTGAGATGACAAATTTTTTCAGCAAAAAGACATGGGTTGATTTGGGAAGTAGGTTGGTTTTTTAATTTTTTAACTTTTTGGTCTGGTTTGGAAAGAATTTTTTGATTTTTTTTTGTGAAAAATGAGTGTAATGATTATGAGTTAGATGTGATGTTTTATTTTTTATGATTAAAATAGTCTATTTTATCTTTTATGACTAAAATAGCCAAATTAACCTTCCCAAACGGACAACACTCCATCACATCCCATAAATTACTTTGTAAGAGGATTCCTTTAATTTAGAGGATAATTTTTTTCAGCAAAAGATATAAACACCCCCATCACATCTCATAAATTACTTTGGACGAGGATTCCTTCATTTTTAGAAGGCGTTATTTGAGTTCATAAGGCTTAGGTCTCTTCACAGAACAAAAATAAAAAATTATTTTTTGATTTTTAATTTATTTTAGATGATATTATCTTTTTATTTTTTTTACATATATTTTTTAAAAAATTTTAAAAATAAAAAGTTAATTTTTAACCAATTTCCTAAAACAACTTTTATTATAGGTTTTGTTTTGATTATTCGAACTGTTTATTTTCTCACACATTTTATTTATTTCATCTACAAGAAAAATTAAGATTTAACTTATCATATTTATTACAAAAGATAAACAACAATTATATTTTTAAAAATAAATTATTTATTTATTTTATAACATTATGATAAATAGAATATATTGTAATTATAGAAACGATCTAATTTTTTGTATGGTAAAAAATACAAAACAACAATTCAGATCATTAAAATGACCCAATGTGGGGGCGTGATGGCCATGGTCCCAAGGTGTGGACTAGAGGGAGGAGAATTTTTTTATTTTTTATTTTTTATTTTTAATAGGAGAGAGTTGGTTGTTCCAATCCACACCCTCAAAATAGCTGAGGGGCATCTCTGTCCCGCAACTATATAATTTATGCCCTAGTTCGCCGTTGCCCAGTCTTGAGATAGATTACTTTTACTTCCGAACTCAGACACAAAACCGCAGCACGATATCCCTTTATTCGCATATTCCCCTCCCGTTGGGCTCTCCAACTCTATATATCTTTCCGACTCTCTCTCTCTCTTCTAGGGTTTGTTTGTTTGGATTGGTGAGAGATCTGATTGAAGAGGAGGACCTTGGTGATCTGCAATGGGAGTTCCAGCGTTTTACCGATGGTTGGCGGAGAAGTATCCGATGGTGGTTGTGGATGTTATTGAGGAAGAACCTGTTGAAATCGAAGGAGTTAAGATTCCTGTCGATACAAGTAAATCTAATCCTAACAACATCGAATTTGATAATCTTTATCTCGACATGAATGGAATTATTCACCCCTGTTTTCATCCCGAGGACCGGGTAACCATTTCAATCTCCCTGTTCTTCATTTGCTTTCATTTCTGATTGATTTTAGTTACTTCTTGTTTGTTAAATGGATTTGGCGGTGTTAATTTTGTGGTCATTCAATTCAATTTGAAAAGAAAAGAGTCAACATGGTCTCTTCTTATTTTCATTCTTCGAAGGAGGAAGAAATTATTGCGTGCATGCATGAACACATTAGGATTGTTCGTCAACAGAGATTTTCAAGTATTTAGAACGGTGGTGTTATTTTGTAATCTTTGTTTGTCGATACCATTTTTTTTTAATCAGCATTTGCAGAGATAACCCTAAGTTTGTCATTTAATGGATTGGTATATTGTTGCTAATTTGAAGATGTGATTGAAGATTTGAAATCTAACGTTTCTGATTTTCAGTTTGCATGTTTGATTCTCCTTGAGATTGAATGCCTGAGGTATTGATATGATAATGGTGTGGATCAAGGGTTTAAGTAACAGTGGTGATGACCGTAGTAGTAATTGTGGCACTGACGGGGTTGTGGGATGTAGCGGTCATAGTGTAATGGAGGCAGCAATAGGACCTACAATTTTTTTTTTACTTCTTCACACAAGTTTGGGAAAGCTTACCAATACACATTTTTTTATATTTTAGAATCACATTTATGGGGTTCAAAATGATTTTTGGTAGGTTTTGTTTAGTTTTTAAACATGACCCTAAATGTGTATTAATTTTATAGTAGTCGTAAGTTGCTATGGAGAGATTTTCTTTTTTAGGTGTATTTAATTTTCTTTACCTTATTAATTGTGCTTATGTATTACTTTCTCTTGTTATGAAAAAAAATCATGAAGGTTGTTTAATATTAGAAATGATAGTCTCATGAAGATAAGTTCATAATATAAAATGGCGACATAACATAGTATACTAATGTAATAGTACATAACATGATATTTAAACTTTGTTTAACAATTTTAACTTGAATCCCTGTAGATATAAGTTAATAATCAATGAATCAATTTTTTACAGTAAACATCGAACAAATGATCTCTTAGAACTTTAAGATTGGGCACTCACAGCATGTAGATCTAAGATTTTTACGTAAGCCCTATGTGAATTTTCCGTGATTTTAACAGCTTGAAAAAAAATGACAAAAAGTGGTCTTATATACAAAATTTGTTGAAAACAGGTGCATAATGGTTGTAACAGTCACAGTAGTGGTACTATAATGGAGCTATAATGACAGTTACAATCTTTACATTGGTGGCCTTTATTATTGTGAATTTCAGTCACACCACTATATCATCTATAATGGGTGGCAGTAACCACAAAATTGTTACCTAATGGTGTTAGGTAACAGTTGTGGCTCATTTTAAAAATCTTATATCGGACCCTTTTTTCGGCTTTCCTAAGATGAAATTAACTAAGGTGATCCATTATTACTTTCTGGTAGATTAATTGAGGTAACATAATTGACATCATTTTCCTGCATATCATGGATAGTCAATAAGGTAGTATGTTTGCTGGCTTCAGAGGTTTTCATTTTCTTTTTCTTCATTTTCATATTGACTTCTCATGTTGATTTGAAAAAGTAAAGTACGAGTAGGCTTCAGAGATATCTCATTTTCTATGTCCATCCTCCCCGTAAAGGGGGAAGAAAAAGAAAAAGAAAAGGAAGAAGAAGATAACAGAACCAAATTTCTTTTTTGTATGGGATGGGACTTATAATGTTGTGTAGTCATTGGGGCTGCTACACATTAATTATCTCATTTGGATATTGGTTTTTTAGTATCTTTTAGCCTTTAAGTTGTATCTTCTTTTTTGTTTCGTTTGGATAAGTCTTTTTCATAGTTTTGTTATGAGTTCAATTACATTCAATTTTTGTACCTTTTTTATTTTATTTTTTTATTTCTGTTAAACTGTGGACTTTTTTATTTTTATTTTTTAACTAAAACAAATACTAAAAGTCATTTAAAAAACTAATTAAATAGTTTGTGAAATAGCTAAAAGCTAAATAAAAAGGCCAGTACAAAAGCTGAAACAAGACAAAAATAAGCTACAAGCTAGTAAAAATTGCTGCATCCTAACGTGGACCATGCTTTTAAGGATTGATGACACGCATATATACACATATATTTTAATTGTCTGCTTTGTACCATGTAGCCTTCTCCTACCACTTTTGATGAGGTGTTCCAGTGCATGTTTGACTATATAGATAGATTGTTCGTGATGGTGCGACCACGGAAGTTACTATTCATGGCTATTGGTGGGTGATAAGGTTGAAATATCTTTTTAACTGTAAATTGAAAGTCGATAAAATTTAATCACCATTGCATGATACTGATTATTTGGAAACTCCTGGTAGATGGTGTTGCTCCAAGGGCAAAAATGAATCAGCAGCGGTCTAGGCGGTTTAGAGCAGCGAAAGATGCAGCAGATGCAGTATGTTTCTCTTGCATGTAAATCTCATGCTACTATCTGAAACCTCACTTGTGATGATTTGAACTGTGAACTGTTCTTTCATAGGCAGCTGAAGAAGGAAGATTGCGTGAGGAGTTTGAGAGGGAAGGCAGAAAGCTCCCTCCGAAGCAGGAATCACAAACCTGTGATTCTAATGTTATCACTCCGGGAACTGAATTTATGGCTGTTCTGTCAATAGCTTTGCAGTACTACATCCATCTAAGACTTAACAATGACCCTGGATGGAAATCTGTTAAGGTAGTGTTCATGTCAAGGTTCCATACAGTTTTCACTAATCATATTTGGTTTCTCTTGCCAATAATTGATGTCATTGCGCTTTAGTGTGTCATGAAGGACGAGTGCTCTATTTTTTGCTCATCATTCTATTCTTTTGAAGGTTATTCTTTCTGATGCCAATGTTCCTGGTGAAGGGGAACATAAAATTATGTCTTATATTCGTCTTCAAAGAAACCTTCCTGGTTATGATCCCAACACACGCCATTGCTTGTATGGTTTGGTACGTCTTCTCCATCCTATCTGTGAATCTATTATAAATTTCTTTCTGTTTTGCTGTTCGTTAGTGTTAATGCAATGTTCTTATTGGAATTTTAACATGTTGCCACACAACAGGATGCTGATTTGATCATGTTGGCTTTGGCTACCCATGAAGTCCATTTTTCAATACTCAGGGAGGTTAGTGTATTACGATTTAATAATTCATTTTTTCTGAAGACTCTTGACTAACATTTTTGGTTCAAATTTGCATGATTGTTTAAGTTGGGAAAATGGTTATAATTTTGTATTTAAAGTTTATAGGTAGGAAAATGAGAAATAAATGCCATGTTTGGTTTGATTTTCGGAGTCTGTTTTCAGAATTTAAAAAAAAACTGAAAATATCAAAAGCATTTATCATTTTTATATAATTTTATCTTTTTGAAGGGCAGAAATAATTTTTAATGTTTATTTTTTTCAAACTAGTTTCTATTTTTTTCAAAAAAATTTCAGAAAATAGTTTCAGAAAATCAAACCACAATGAAAGGGTACCCGTGTTAACAAAAAATGAAAGGTGCTGTAGGCTGCAATATGTTACTGTGCTTTTCAATTTCAATGAGCGACATTTATGTACCCCAAATTTACTTGTCAGGTTGTATTTACCCCTGGACAACAAGATAAATGTTTCCTATGTGGTCAAGCGGGTCATTTAGCAGCAGACTGTGAAGGTAAGGCAAAGAGAAAGGCTGGGGATTTTGATGAGAAAGGCGATGCTGATGTCGTGCCCAAAAAGCCTTATCAGGTCTGTTTTGATTCCCATTGAAATGTGATAGGTAGAGTACGTATTTCTTTTTGTTGGGCTGTTTTGGTTATTGTTTCCTTAAGTTGTTTTCATTTTGCAGTTTCTCAACATTTGGACTCTTAGAGAGTATTTGGAATATGAAATGAGGATTCCTAATCTGCCTTTCGAGTTTGATTTTGAGTGCATTGTTGATGACTTCATCTTCATGTGTTTCTTTGTGGGCAATGATTTTTTACCCCACATGCCCACACTGGAGATTCGCGAGGTGTGTGTGGCAATTTTCCTCTCTTCACTTACTTATTGTATGAGATATATTGGATTTGCCGTGAAATTTAACCATAGAGCCATGCACTATGTGCATGTTTATTAATGAAATGCAGCAAACTCTATGTAGCTTAGTTTACTACATCCTGGTTAACACCATAAATATCCTTATGATTGACATGAAAATTAATGTGAATATTGAGCAAGTTGATGCTTGCTGTGGTTTATAAAGCCAAGAAAGAATTTGCTATAGACATTCAATATAAGAAGTCTCCACCTAGAAGTTCAAGGGTACATTAATATTTGGATACTTTTTATTTTATTTTAATTTTTTTAAGATATGAAAATGTGGACTTCTACATTAATCCATAAGGCTTAAAAACATAGGGAAATGGCTATTGATGCTTATATTCATTGTTTAGCCTGAAAACAATATCAAAGATAAAGTGTGGATGGTTATTTGCAAAAATTAAAGAAGACAACAATCAGACATTGGTTTGGGGAAAACATCCATATGGAAGATAATGAACATGCCAAACCATAGAAGAAAAAAATTGTGAATGAAATCAATATATATGTGTATTCTTTATGCAAGGAATCAATGTAGGTTTGGTAACAATCTGCACTCAGCATCTTGCATTGATAAAATCAATTAATGTTTCTCTTAAACATGGAATTGATCAATAGCTGATGATATGCCATTATTATTTAGAAAGGGCTTAATTTTGTGGAGGATATCTATGATACCTTGATTATAAGTCTCTATGGTGATGGACACTTTAGCAGTCTAAAAATTACTTGAAGTCAGGTTTCATTAGGCCCATATGACATTGCATATGTAGAGCGATATGTCAGCAAGCCTATAGGCATTTTAAACACCTATTTGTGATCCTTTTTATTGTCTGCCAAGTTTGAATAGCGCAATATTTTTTCTTGTACTTTCTGAGACACACTTTTAAAATAATAATAATAATAATAATAATAATAATAATAATAATAATTTTATGTTTTTGTTCTCCCGAAACTTCATTCTGGGTTGTTTTCAGGGTGCAATTAATTTGCTGCTTGCTGTATATAAGAAGGAATTGAGGGCAATGGGCGGGTATTTGACTGATGGTAGCAAGGTATTTATGTGGCCATATGAGGGCAAGTTACCTAATTCATGCTTGGTTTTGCTTTGGATGCATTTGAAGGATTGTTGTTAATCCTTGTCATTATTTCTCAGCCAAATCTGAGCAGGGTGGAGCACTTCATTCAGGCTGTGGGATTGTATGAGGATAAAATATTCCAGAAAAGAGCTCGGTTGCATCAGGTTTGTGTTGTCTTTCCATTGACGTGATTATCTTCCTCTAGTAGATTCTCATTGTATTTCTTGTGCCCCTATAAAGCCATAATCAGTTAATACATAAATATATATATATATATATATTGATGTTTACTTAATGCATGCTTCAGAAGTATGTAGCAACCATAGCATTAACTATTAATTCATGGATTCATTTTTCTACTGGGAGGGTGATATCAGAGTTTTACTGCTTACTTCTGTATTTTTTTACCCGACTGTGCCTAAGAAACTACTGCTAATGTATGTGGAAGCATCAAACAGCTGTGGCAATGGCCATAGTTCTTTTATTGATCATGTTCAAAATTACCATGCTGGTATATTCTTATTGCTATGCTTGTGCCCGTCTCTTTCTAGCGGCATTTCTGCTAATAGAATCAGACAAACACTATCTTCCATTTCCTTGGACATTGGATGTACGGTACCAGAATATACGGAAGGGAGCACATCTTCACTTAAAATATTTTTCAATGGGTATAATATGTTTATGCTTCACTCATTAAACTCTCATTCAAGTATTATGACTCAAGATTCCCATTTTCTGACAAATTTTGTGTGAATGCTATGTGAAATATTTCTATCGTTGAATGCATACAACTACACGGTGATGCTAGGGAAATCGTGTAAATCCCCAGATACTGAGACTGGGTTCCTTGTAATCAGGAACATGATATAGGAAAGTGGGTCTTGGAAAGATAAATGAAAAAGGAAATACAAACGTTTGGTTTTCCCACATGTTTGGTTTACAAAATGTTAATAGAAAGATAAATTTCTACTTCCCGATGATGCACAATCCTTCATAAAATACAGGACAAGATTTGAGAGGAAGTATTTTCTTCAAGAAACTGGTCATGGTAGGATTCTCACTTTCTTGTGACAACCAAAATGCATGCATTATAAAGGAAAATGGTTTTCACTTTCTTTTCTTGTTAATCACATGGAGCCTATATTGTTTTACCCCGTCCTCCTCTTGCTATCAACATAGTCTTTATATGTTGCTTTTGTTGTTCAGAGGCAAGCTGAAAGAATCAAGCGTGGAAAGGCGCAAGCAAAAAGAGGAGATGATGTGGAACCTCAAGTTAAACCTGAGTCTCTTGTACCTGTTGCTCATTTCCGTGGTTCTCGTCTTGCTTCGGGTCCTTCCCCCTCACCATATCAGCAGACTGGTTCCAATTACAGTTCACCGAACTCAATGTCTGTTAGAAATGGATGTCAAAAGCAGTTTGGATCATATGACAATAAACAAACTCATGTCAGGGCTCAAAAAGCTGCACGTACGACTTCTGGGGCCACTGTTGGTGCTGCTATTGTTGAAGCAGAGAATAGTCTTGAGACGGATGTATGTTTTCCTGCTTTAGGAGATGCATCTCAATGTAACTCTTATATTGCCATTCTTTAGGATTAATTTTCTATTGGCTAACTTTTGACTGGATATAAATTGTGCTATCTGGGATTGAAGGGTGTATTTGTCATATAATCTTTCATTGTTTACTTGTGAAAAAATAACAGAATTTTGTCACTTCTGTCATCATCATCAATCATTGTCAGTTCATCATATCAGTTACTGAATTTCAAGTTAAATTGCTGCTTAATGGGTTATGTTTTCTCTCTATTGGTTATCAGGTACATGAAAACAAAGAAGAATTGAAGATAAAGCTGAAGGAATTACTTCGTGAAAAGTCTGATGTTTTCAACTCTGAAAACCCTGAGCAAGACAAGGTTTGAACTCTGAGATGCATTTTGATTGGTTCTTTATACTTGGTTTTCACATGTGTTTGCTGTGGGGTTCACCATTGGTATGCTGTTCTTACATTAGAGATTTGTTTAGTATTGGAAACCTGTGGCAAATTATGTCTGAATGAATGAATATTAAAATCAAAGGTCAGTCTAACCTGTTCTTTTAAACTTTATATGTGATTCAGATCAATAGATAAGACTGCAAAATTCATGGAGATATGGATTGAAACCTGTTTAAGCTGATACTCCAATTGCAGATGTGTGTATATAACACTGTTGTCATTAATTGCAAGCACTGTGTTATGACAAAAGATAAATAAATCAGCTTTGCCATTTCATTAATAACTCTTTGAATCATTAAAAAACTTTTGATTTTGTAAGTTATAGAATTTCTAACCTATGTTACTTGGAACGTGGATTGTTCTGGTACTTGGAACGGGAACGTGGTACGCCACATGCTCTAAAATATGGTACGATATGGATATATTTGTATATATTACACTTAAGAATTTAAGGTGTACTTCTAGAGTAATTTATTCTTAACTATTAGCCATCCAATAAAATGTAGTGTGTGCTTGTTTTTCTTTTTTTATTTTTATTTTTATTTTTTTTTCATGTAGCAAAATATTGCTATGAGAATTATGACCCATTTTTTATATTTTATCTTGTCAAAACTTAACTCATCTTAGATTTTAGTTCAGTATATTTGATTTTTTTTCCTCCTAAGAAAACATTTAAGGAAATATATTAGAAAAAACTTTTGGTATCGCTTTGGATCACTAGATTTACTGTTTTGAAATGGAAATGTACCATGTTTTGGAGCGTTGGTACCAATACGTAATTCGCTAGGGTATTATTATTATTTGGTAACATAGTTTCTAACACTAAATGAAGTCTAGTTTTTGTTTTTTTTTTCTGCTGCTTATGATTCATCTCAGGTATTTGTTATCCTGGTTTTCTGTTATTAGGTCAAATTGGGAGAACCAGGTTGGAAAGAGAGATATTATGAAGAAAAGTTTTCTGCAAAAACTCCAGAGGAAGTTGAAATGATTCGGAAAGATGTTGTAAGTTATTTGAACTTAACTGCCAGTGATGTTCATTGTTTAATGAATTTAATACCTTATGGATGGATTTAATACATAGCCGTTGATCCCTAAAAAATTGTCATTATTTTCAATATTTTTAAACTCTGTTCGCAAAATATTAGGGAATTGTATTATCATTGGTCAGCTGATATCTTCTTTTTGATTTGGATTGCTTGAATGAATTTGTGACAACTGAATTTCTAATGCAGCAACTCAGAATTTACATCCTTACTCAAATTTAAGTTTTTATTACTTGTTGGTCAAATTTAAGTTGATCATTTTTTTTTTTTGGAAAAAGAAACATTAACTTTTAAAGCTGAGCTGGTCTTTTGGGAGCTTCATTGGTAGATTGTGTGCATAGCAGCTTGAAGTAATGTCCATAGTTTTAATAAAAACAGTTTTTTGATCACTTCAGCCACGCTAAGGAAAGTGTTACTTGTTACACTTTACCACATGCTAGAAATTAATGGTAGCCTATGAAGCACAAATACGTTGATACTACAAAACCTAAAAAAATAGGACACAGGTACGACTAGGATAAGTTCGTAAAAAAAAGGTAAAATTATTTTTATTGATGATACATAAGTGCGGAAGCATTTGGTAGGAATTAGGTATTAGTTTAAGATCCAGTGATCAATGTACTATTTTTCGGGGTTCTTATAAAGATTTCATTTCAATTTCAAGTTTAATTTGGTCATATTGCCCTTTCATTTTTCCCTTTCTCACTTAAAAGCATTATAGGCAAAAGTACTGTATGCAAAGTTTACTTGTTTAATTATTGAAATCTGATTTTAATTTGATTCTCTTTTCTTATTAATCATTGTTTTCTATAAAGTATTAATATGGATTGGGACACGTCTATGACACATTAAGGATACATTACGTGTCATTAAGGATATGTCAATTTGATAAATTCTGAGTAGGGTTACTACTTCAATCTCACGATTTTTTTCTTCTCTTCAAAGTAAGCAAAGTATTGAAAAATTGATCTTGTATTTATCTTAACGATTATTATGAAAAAACTATTACAATCTCAATTTCATAATAGTTCAAATATGTGTCCTAGAGTATCCAAAAAGTATTCGATACTTCTCAAAATTAAAGAAAATTATTTTCAAGTATCCGATACATCTAGAATGGATTAGATAAGTGCACAAATATATTAACTTGACAAAAGAAGTGCACAAATATATTAACTTAACAAAACCAATACAAGGAGGCGCACACAAAAGAGGAGAGGAAAGCATTCACGAGTCTGAGGATTATTGGTATATGATACGAGTACGATATGGATACAGTTCCCTTTCAAAAGTATCTGGGCTGCATATATGGTAGCTAAGGTGGTTGACTAGAGGCTTCTTTTGGTGGTCACCTTACAGTTTACTACCTTTGTATATGTGGTCAATTTTGTTACGCCTTAGGATATGTGGTCAATTTTGTTATGACACACCTTGACTGTCTTGAGCTCTGCCTAATGGATTATGGTCAATATTGCATTTTTTGCAACTTAAAATAAGTTAGGAAGTGCAGTATGGCGCATTCTTGGAGAATGAGTTGTCTAATTTTTATTCTGTAACTCTGTTAAGGAGGATTGCTTCTAGATACGAGACAATGAATTGCAGATCTCATTCTATCGTCTATCCTAGTTGAGTGAAATTTGAAGATCTCATACCTAACTCAAGTGCGTATATACCTGAATTGCTATCACCACTTTTCAGGTGCCACTGTCACTTCCACAGCCTTTTTTACTTCCACTTCATTGCCATCACCATTGATGCCTCCACATTCTGATGTCTGAGCAATTGTCTTCCTTGTTGATGTGATTGCTACCTTATCTGTATTCTAGATCTATTTGTTGAAGTCTCTAACACTAATTGCAGATAAGTCCTGCCTGTATTTTCCAATGGCAAAAGATATTAGCATTTTTATCTATTTATGCCTAGCTGAACAATACTTCTGGCCAAAGACACCTTATTTGTAGGTGATGCTGCTCAGAGGAGTTGTTTCCTAAGGTCTGTTTGATGTGTTAGGATGTAATTGCATATAACAACCAGAGAAATATGAACTTTGATCTTCGATTCATGAATTTTGGGAATTAAATTTTGGAGAGTAGCATGGTTTCTTTATTAAATATTCATGCCCCTTGAGAAGGGAACATTTGTCTAGTTCCCTTCATGGTTCATTTCTTTCAACTGAAGGGATCTCTCCAATTGCTGGAATTAGCTGAATCATGAAATAATATTTCATACATGAACTAATTTTTGAGCATGGAAATTGTATCATGTATGGATATCCACCAATATAAGCATGTTCTCCCCTAGTAAATATAGTCATCTTCCCCCACAAAACTCGACTTTGACAGTGGCAGAGGCTAGTGATATCATCTGTACGAGGGATTTTGATTTGTGATGCAGATTTTCTTTTGTATGATTGTGCAGCTTGTTTTCTAAATCTTATATTTGAAGCATGCCAAAGTTACATTTGAAGTAATAGTGGGCTAATAAAAGCTTAAATTTCTACCCGCATAGGTTTTGAATTACACAGAAGGCCTGTGTTGGGTTATGCACTATTACTATGAAGGAGTTTGTTCCTGGCAGTGGTAATTTTTTCTTCTTTACTTTGGGCAATATTCATATTCTTGAATGCATTTCTCTGTGGGTGTTTATATCTATCAGTGTATCTGTCTATCCCTGTGGATTCATGACGAGAATACTAGTATATTTAGCCTTGTCCATGTAGTACATCTATATAATATATATATATTCATAAGTTATATTAAACATTTCTAATTAAGGCATGTATGGTGGCACTTGTTTAAAGGATGTGTTATGTGTAGACACATCTAATTGAGAATGTGTGTCATGCACTGAGCTCAAATTATTGCACATGGCTCTCAATTGTTAATTTAAAATGAACTTTGCATGTAAATAACATGTCTTACCTTGCATACTAGTGCACTTATTATGTATGTGTGCGGAGGAGTATGGGCCATTTTTAAAAGTTTTCCTGTGGTGGAATGGGTAGCCACTTTCTTGAAGTTTCTAGCAAATATCAATCATTTTATATGACATTGTTGGATGTTTTCTTCTTGCCCTTCCCCTTCCCCTTCCCCTTCCATTTTTCTTATAGTCCCTGTAAAGTGTCTTTATCTTTTTCTTATTTTTTCTTCTTTGACTGACCGTGTATCTTTTAATAACACATTTACTTTATATTAACTAATTTTAACTCTAGGATGTGGTTGTACCTGTCTCTCTCTCACACACACACAAACACACACATGCAGGTTTTATCCTTATCATTATGCACCATTTGCTTCTGATATCAAGGATCTGGACCAGTTGAATATAAGCTTTGAACTAGGTTCTCCGTTCAAGCCGTTCAATCAGCTGTTGGGGGTCTTTCCAGCTGCAAGGTTCCACTGGCCACCTTTTCTTCTGTCGATTTTATTTTTTTTTTCTTTCTTTATTTCTTTTGTGGGGTTCTAACCGGCTTACTTGCAGTTCTCATGCACTTCCTGAGCATTATAGGAAATTGATGACCGATCCAAACTCACCTCTCATTGATTTTTATCCGTCTGGTACAATATAATTCTTGCTAGATGGAGCATATTATTTGTCATTGAGTTGAAACATTATATATAACTTTCTATTACTTTTATCATGTTTATCAGATTTCGAAGTGGACATGAATGGCAAGCGGTATGCTTGGCAGGTACAGGTTATTCATATGGCATTTTGGTTGTCTTATGAACAATGTGACCTGTGGGGAATTACTTTCTGAATTGTGGTATCTTTTAACATTTTCCTTGCCTGTTTATTATTTTGAAGGGTATTGCCAAATTGCCTTTCATTGATGAAGCCCGCCTTCTTGCAGAGGTCGAAAAAATTGAACATACGTTGGTGGTATGGTACAATGAAGTTAGCTTTTGAGATGTACTTAGCTACTGGGTTCTTTCTCCAAGATGGTTTTGCTTATTTAAGTACCATGTTCTCTGCAGGAGGAAGAAGTGCGAAGAAATAGTGTTATGTCTGACATGCTTTTTGTGGCACTATCTCACCCCCTGTCTCCATACATATTTTCTTTTGACGATCGTTGTAAACAGTTGACAGATAAAGAGCGGGCTGGAATCAAGGAACAACTTGATCCAAGGGCCAGGTTTGTGGTGTGCTCATTTCGTGTCGTAAATTACTTTTGATATAAGGTTGGTCTGTCATTTAAGGGTGCCGACCAGTTTCTAATGTTAACAAGATTTTCTTTCCTGGTATGCATAAGTTCTCAAACTATTCCCTAGTCTTTAAAATTTATCATCAAACAAAGCTGGACTTGAATTTATTGAGTGTACTCTGATAATTCAATAGTTATTCCCAATGTCCCAAAATTCTGAAGTATGTAATATTTAAATTTTGAAGTTCACACTTTTGTAATGAGCTTCGGATGCTTTCTCCTGTGAGAGGTTGGAAGTGAGTAGGCTGGCTGTGGAGCTCTCTTGGAAGTATAGCGGTCTCTGAGCTAACTCTGGATCACAATCACTAGAGAAGGCTAGGTGTGAGCAGTTGTGGTCTTAGAGCAGGGGAGAGAGATGGAGAGAGGCATGGATATGGAGGACTAGGGCTTCCAAATAGGGAGAGTTAATTCTTCTTGAAGATGGAGACATTTTGTGTATAGAAGGGGAACATCTCTCCTGGTCACTTGTTATGATGATGATGACGATCGGTGGTCTTTCTAGCTTGATAATCCTGAAGGTGGCGGCTGTTGCTAATGATGGACCTGGAGTAAGTGAGAGCCTTGTGTTGCTCTAGTGTGAGAGCCTTGTGGTCACTCATACCTTGTCACGAGCCATTACCAGAGATAGCATTGAGGAGTAGGTTACTTAGTTGTGAATTACTCAACTGAGCCACTACCAGGTGTATCATCGTAAGTGGAGGTGACTGTGTTTGAGAGATTCCCTTGGCTGAGCTGATGGGTGTTTCAAGCTTGTTTACGCTAGCAGACTGGGAGATGCCTCATAGAATTTCCCTAGTCACCTAGGCTTGAGACTTAAAAATGTGTACATTAGCTTCAACCATGACTCAATGTAGAAGGGAAGTATATAGAGACATGTGATTGGTCCATGTATCACGAATGACACTTGATAATGATGAGTGCTGATGTGGCCTGTCTCGTGTGTCTGCACAACGAGCACTGCTTTCCTTGTGCAATAAATTGTTTGTTGTTGGGTTAGGTTTTTATTTGTGCTATAATTTTCTTAATAATTCCATGTATTCAGTTTAGGGTGGTTTCCAGAATGGTCAGGATTGCACATTTTTTTAATAAAGATTCGTATTAGTTTACTGCTTCCATCGCATTCCTCCGCATCCAACCCTGACCTGTTTGATGGGTTAGAGAAACCAACAAACCCAGCTAATAGGTTATGGTCTAACATTATGTTCAAGTAATAATGGAGATTGGTTCCTCATCCAATAACATTACTGCTAAATCGTGGCCTTTATAGACTTATATCCTGTTTGCTAGCCACCTGAATCTTCTTGTGTTTAACCTTTTCCATGCTAAAAATAGATTTAAAATCTGTTTGAACTATTTTCTGATTTTATTTAGGGCTACATGCAGTGGTGGGATGAATGGTTATATATCCCTTTGTGCTGGAGATCCTTGCCCCCCAATTTTCCGGTCACCGGTTTCTGGAATGGAAGATATTATGGACAATCAAGTCATGTAAGCTTACTTGCAATCAATATAATTTTCTATTGCATTAATTGAATTAACTATTTATCTTATGCTGTTGTGTTTACTTTTTCCGCCTTCACCATCCAGATGCGCTATATACAGACTTCCAGATGCTCACAAACATATCACTCGACCACCAGCTGGGGTTATATTCCCGAAGAAGGTTTTATCTGTCATGTTTCTCTGCTTGTCATTAACATTCCTAGTGTTAGCAGTTTATTTATTATTTTTATTTTTGCATTCTACTTCAATATATATGGCATCTACTTGTATAGATGTGCACCTTTGCTTTTGTGATAAACCCTTTTGCGTGTCTACTTATTTCATGGTCAAGCAAGGTAATGGATATAAAAAAGATAATTACAAATAATAAAGGATATTCTACGAGGAGTTTTAAACAGCTCTAGGCACTCCAAGGCTATGAGGTCTCATATAGCCTAAGCGGCGAGGCGCAGGTGAGGCTCAAGTCGTTGTAGATAAGCAAAATTTTAAAATAGGCAAAGTTTTCAGCATAAACAAATATATATAGAATTCCAAAAATCATAAAGCAAGTTTCACCATTTCAAATAATCTTTAAACATAACATTCAATCTTTCAAAAACTAGAAATATAATATCTAACAAAAAATTGGAAGTATCACATTCACATCTAACAAAAACCTCAAATTTTATGATCATTCACATAAAGTTCAAAACAACTAAGAAGTGTTAGAGGCTAAAGGTGAAAAAAAGAGGACCCATCAAAGAAGAAGAGAAGAAGAAAGGATGAAAAGAAGAGAACCCAGCGAAGAAGAGAAAAGAAGCAAGGAAGAACCTGAAGAAGTTGATGTCTTTCCACTTTCTGATCAATTTTTTTAATCGTTCTCCACCCAAGTTTTTTTTATTACTTTCGGATCTCTTCTCAACACATTTGGTCATCTTATATTGAATGGTTTTAATTCCCTGTGGGTAAAGGGATTTGGATTTCATTTCATCCTTTTAGTAGTCAAAAGAATTGGATTGGAAGTGCTTCCATTATGGTGTTGTGTGTTGATGGATTTGAAATAAAGGGATTTGGATTTCATTTCAAGTAGTCGAAAGAATTGGTATTGAAGTGTTTCCATTTGGAGTGTTGAGGTAAAGGTATGAGATTCATCGTATTAGAATAGTTGTGCCGCTAGAATCCTGGAGGTTTAGGCCAAAATTCAGGTTTTTTCTTCTTCAAAATCATTCATAAAGTTCTTATAAATCCATTCGTGGAAAATTTTATCCAAGCTATATTCTTTGAAGTTCTTTTTGTTGGATGGTGGAAAAATAGGAGGAATAGAAGAAGGTAGGGGGGAACGGATCTCAAACTTCACCTTTTTTTTTTCTTTCAAAATTACTGATACAAGGTTCTCAAATTCATTCGTGGAGTTTGTTTAAAGGGTCAGAAAAATGCTGACTTGTGGGGCTACCACTTTATTTGTTTTCACATTATATACATTTCTTTTCAATGGTCATGGACAAAAGTTTCAAGGATTTAGAGGGTGGCTTGACAAATTGATGACACGTGGACCCCTTTTTGTACCTTTGTGTCATATAGTAATACATAGGTTAGGATCCACAACCCTAAGTCTTGCATTGTGGACATAATATTCAAATAGACTTAATATGGCATAGGAGTTTTGTTCATGTAAATAAACTTTTATTTATACCCTTATTTTATGTTTTGTTGATTTGTTTGTTTCCTTTGCTATTCATGCTCAGTGACATGTTTATTCTTCTCTAAAATCTTATAGGAGCCAATGTGATTTGGGTTCTTGTAAACAAGCTTAGAATTAACTTATTGGAGATATACTTTCAAAATAAACCAAATATATTGTCTTGGTTGGTTTTGTAAACCAAACCAAACTAAGCATTGTGTAAGTGAATCATTTTTTGTCATTTTGTTTTGTCAAGGGCTATATTCTCAGTTAAATTAAATAAATTTGTATTTTTTTTAAACATTTATTACAACATCCAATGTCAAGTCTTCTTGTGCTCCTAACATTTTCATTTATCATGATCATATCACTCTTTTTTCGTTGTACATGACCAAACCATTTTAGCTTATTTTCTATTAATATATCTTCAATTGGTGCCACTCCTGCCACTTCAATATCTGTCCGACTCTTGCCACATTCATCTAAGCATTCTCATTTTAGCTATACTTATTTTATGAACGTATTATTTTTTAGTGGCCCAATAGTTTGTCTAGTAAAAGCATCGCTGGCCTTATAGCTATTCTATAAATTTCCGTTCAGTTTTGTTGGTCTTTGTCGGATCACTTAATATGCCAGATGCATTCCTCCACTTGAGTCAACTTACCTGATTCTGTGAGTCATATCATCTTCGACCTCACAATCCTTATAAATAATCGAACCTAGGTAACACAAATATTCACTGTTCTTTAGCTTTTGATTTTCAATATTCACTCATTTATTTCTACTACTTCTACTGTCACTTAGGCTCCTTTTGGATTTAAGGATTTCAAATCAAGTGGATTTGAAATCTAAGCTTGAAATTGTTGTGCCCCATTTGGATGACCACACAGTGCATATGAATTTCAAATCCAGTCAAATCACCCCATGGGTTTGATGACCAAAATATGGAGATTTGAAATAACACCTAATTAGGCGTTGTTCGAAATTCATTTCTGTTCCGTTTCACGCAACACAATAATGAAGGAATGGCCACCCCTCTCTTCCAATGTTAGGAAACTTGAACAGCCAGTGTTTTTTAAATGTAATTTATGTCTTGTTTTGCTTAATTCGGTAAATTTTAAATACATAGATTTGCAGTACCTACGTGTTTCAAATCTAAGGATTTTAAATCCTTTCTCAAATCGAAAACCACAAAACCAAGTGCAGCCTAAAGTTTTTTTGGGTAGAAATTGCAGCATAAAGTTACATTCCATATTCAGTAAATAATATCATTGGTAAACAACATACACCATGGGGCATCTTAAATGTGTTTAATTAATTCATCCATAGCTAATGCAAAGAATAAAGGAAGCAAAGCTGACCCTTGTGCAATATACTATAGTGATTGGAATTTAGCAACTAGCTCAGAGGTTCTAAATAAGCTGAAATTAGCAACTGCAATATGGAAACCATTGAAACCTGTTAGCTACGCTGCTTTTGCATGTGCAACTCTATTAACCAATGATGTTCATGGGCGTTTTGGTTGCTTAGTTTCTACATTTCTAATGTACATTAGAAGCAACTGTGGTGTAAAGCTGTCATATAGGCACTGAAATGTTCCACACTGTGAGACGTGCATGGGTTATGATTTGAGGTTATCAAATCTAGGTTAATATTTGTATTCTATATTATTTGTTTGGAAGCTATTATTTGTTCTCTATTGGAATGGGCATGTGGCACGGCTAGCTCTGGACATTGTTACCTTTATGGCATTACCTAAAGCTGTATAAATAACTCACTTATTTTTTTTTAATTGTCTTCTTTCAGTCCGTTGAGATAGGGGATCTAAAACCTGAGCCCGCTTTGTGGCACGAGGATAACGGAAGGAAGCCATGGGAAAATCGAAGGTATACTAAATTGTCTTTTCATTCAAGTGCCAATTTTTAGTTGTTTGATTCCTACTCTTGATGGATACTTGACACTGTTGTCTTAATATTCTAAAAGTATTGTTGTTTTGGGCTTCTCTCCTTTCAGGCAAGATCCCCCTGGAAGCATTTCTGGCCGGCAGCTAGGTGATGCTGCACATCGACTTGTAGCTAATAGCTTACAGTTGAGGGCAAATCCGAATGGTTACAGCGATCAGATGCACGGCCCACCCCCCTACGTTGCTGCATATGGCCAACCTTATTCCTCTTACCAAAACAATAGATTCCATGATCAGGAGCGCAATAGGATGGATCCATCTAGGACAGGCTATCCTGCGGAAACTTCCCAGGGTCACCACCACCAGGCATCAAATATCGCTGCAGTACGAAATCACTATGATCGTAGTTATGGTCAACCCATTCCATCAGCCACACATGATCCCTACAGTAGGCCCCATCATCAGTATGAAAGGGATTCCTACAGTAATAGGTCCTATCCTCAGCATGAAAGGAACAACCGATCTACTGCCCAACATAGAGAACACCACCCCACACAGGGATACTACCGTCCGGGATTCCAACAAAATGGTGGAAACATGCATCAGTATCCTCATCACGTAGTTCAAACTCCAATCCCAGCAGGTGCCCATTTTCATCAACAGAGTGGAGGATACAGCAATACCTATGGGAGCTACCAATCTTATGGAGCTGCAGGCTATCATCATTCGAGTGGTAGCTGGGCTCCTCAGGTAGACCAGAGTGTTGGGAGAGGTTATGGCCGTCCGCAACAATCAGGCAACCAATTTTCAGCATTAAATAGGGGAGCAAGGAGTAAGCCGCCACCGCCCTCGTCTGGTTATGGCCGCTAGTTTCCTGATTGCTTGGGTGATTGTAGTTTTAACAATATGTTTTCAAGTGTTGAATTGGTTTTTTTAACAAAAATGTTCTTTTATTTTTATTTTTATTTTTATTTTTACCTTGTTTCTTTTTTAGAGCCGATAGTTTAGATCTGGGTTTTCAATTTTATTTGGTTAATAGTTGTATTATTCACCACCTTCCAGGGTGAGCAGAGAAGAAAATGTTGTATTTCTCTTCACATTGTACGCTGCTTGGTGGGAAACTTGGATAATAAGATCCCAGTGTATGTTATTGTGATGTTATAGTCATGTTTGAGACATTTGGGGATTATTGAGCTCTCTTGTCACTTTTTGTTTTTCCTTTTATTTTTCTTTCATAAAAGCCAAGCAGATGAAGAAGGTGAACAAGCAAGCGGAAAACTGAAATGTTGGGTAATTACTTCTCCCAAGTGGACTTTTTGATGGATTTCTGAGTATTTTAAAGCTGGAACCAGGTACAAGTTACTACATGTACTATCTGAGCTTCACTTGGGTTTTATGTGAATGTGACAAATTTATTACGTTAAGTTGAAGCTTGAAAAATTTACCATTGTGCTTGACTCGGTTCATTTACTATCATAGCTGAGAAGAACCATTTGCAATTTACAGGTGTTTATGTTCACATATGTTTATTTATATCGATGTGTGATTTGTAGTTAAAAAATTTCCAAAATAACTTCTCTTAGTTAAATTCAGTCAATCATAAACAGCTAAGATTTTTTTTTGAACAGCATAAACAATAGGGTTGAGTATAAAAATTACTAAAACACAAAAATAGGCTTGGAAATCAAGATTAAGAAGCTTAAAATTTACAATTCATCCAAGACTACTTCAGTCTATTAAGTACAAACAAGAGCATTTACACAGAAAATCTATATATATATATATATGGCTCTCTTAAATGCCTTCTACTCTTATTCAGGGCTTCGCATAAATTTCCATAAATCGGAACTTTTTCTTAGCCCAAACTTTTCACACTCCGCCGGGGATTGGCTTGTCTCTTTATTTGGTGTTAACGTGGTTTCTAAACCTGAGATCTATTTGGGCGCTTATTTGGGGTTCTCGGGGCATTCAAAATCTGAGATTTTTAATTCTATTTTGAGCAGAATCCAATCGAAACTACAAGGATGGAAATGTGATTTTTTGAACTTCGCTGGCCGGGGAATTTTAGTGAAACATGTTCTGCAATCCATCCCAGTGTATCTCCTGTTTGTTTTTCGTATGCCTGACAACTTTCAACATAAAATTACAGCTCTAATTCGTCAATTTCTTTGGGCTTCATCCAAGGGTTCAGGGTTAGCATGGAAAAAATGGACAGCTCTACGTCTTCCCAAAGGTTGGGGTGGGCTAGGCTTCAGGGACCTTACCTGCTTCAATCAAGCCTTACTAGCAAAACAAGCATGGCGGATTCTGTCCTCACCTAACTTACTGCTCTCGAGAGTTTTGCTAGGTAAATATTGTCAACAAAATTCATTCCTGGAGGCTAAACACTCATCATTATCATCTTGGGGATGGCGAAGTATTTTATGGGGACGCTCGTTATTGCTTTCTGGTCTTCAGTGGGTTGTGGGCAATGGTTGGAGTATCAATCCGTTTGAAGCTCAATGGATTCCGATTGTTTCCAATCCTTGTAAAGGACGCGGCTTGAGTGATCTTTGCCCTGCAATGAGGGTAGAGCATTTCATTCACTCCTCGTCTCGATCTTGCAGGTTGGATTTATTAACTTTGTTTTTTCCCGCCCATGTTATTCCTCATATTTTATCCATTCACATCCCCCACGAGGATCTTGAGGATAAAATTGTTTGGGGTCCAACTAAAAGTGGTCAATACTCGGTGAAATCAGGCTACAAGCAGGCCTTAATTCGTCAATTCCCGGATTTTTGTAGGCCTGATCCGGACTGGACCGTCTGGAAGCGACTTTGGCATTTTAAAATTCCTCCCAAATGGACTTTGTTTTTGTGGAAATGTCTACACAATATTCTCCCCGTTAGAGCATCTCCAATGCACTAGGCATATAATACTTGTTAGTTAAAATGCCTAGTGTGATTCACTTTTTTCAATTCCAACGCACTAGGCATATGATTAGGCATTTTGGCTCAACTCATATTCACTAGCTACATGTAGCTAGCCTTCAACGCTAGGCAAAATGTATTCAATCATTAGGATCATTTCCCTCCATCTTTGTTGTTGACGTGGCATTCTATAAAATTAATAGTATTTAGATTAATAGCTAAAATAAAGAGTATGGTTGGAGTAAAAACATAAAACAGTTGATAGGCAAAATAAAATATATAGTTTATAGTAATATTTAGATAGGTAAAATGCCTACTACCGTTGGAGATGCTCTTAAGCATGAACTCAAGAAGCGAGGTCTCACCATAGATGTCCTCTGTTCGCGATGCTCGGCGAATGACGAAACTATTGAACATCTCTTTTTTGATTGTCCTATCTCTCAAAGGGTTTGGCGTGGGTCTATTTTGGGCTTAGATTTTGGTAGTGGAACACCCTTATCATTCTTCTCCTGGTTCAAGCGTTGGGTGGAGCAGATCACTGATGTTGAGATTTTATTTCACTCCATTGCTTTATTATGGGCCATCTGGTTACAACGTAACTCAGCGGAATTTCGTGGTGCAATATTGCCCACTGATCATATCTTGCAAACAGCTCGTGAAGTGCTTTCCACCTTACTGTCACCTTCTACTTCTGTTGCTCATGACATTTCCTATTCGGATAGTATTGTCCACCATTCGGTTGCTAACTAAGTTATCTTGCAGAATGCTGCCACATCCCTTGCAGACTATCCGCAACAACGGATTGTCGTCGACGGGTCTTGGACCTCGGTCATGGCCAGGACGGGTTTGGCTTGGGTATGGCTGGATGACGCGGACAATGTGGTTAAGCAGGAAGCCATTTTGGGGCCACACATGTTATCTTCTCAGCAAACGGAAGCTGCTGCGGTTCTTCAGGCTTTACGGTGGGCATCACAGCAAGGGATCAAGAGCCTCCTTTTGCAAACAGATTGCCTGGTTTTGGTACAGCTCATGCAGCACTTTCATCAAGATGAAGACTGGCAGCTCCACTCTATCCTACATGACATTTTGTTATGCACTAAGCATTTTGTTTATGTTGTCTTAGAGAAAGTAGATAGAGCAGTGGTCCAACCTGCTCACTTTCTTGCACATTCTGTAACACTCTCTTTTGAAACTTAATGAAATATCTATGCTGTTTTCGTTCTCAAAAAAAAAAAAAATATGGCTCTCTGGTGGTGATTAATGTCATTGGCCTCTAAAAAAAGTTTCTTCTTGGAAAGCTTTTTGATCAGTATAATTTCACTTGTTTAACCTTATTAATCACATAGAGAGGAAGTGCCCAATTATCTCCTGTCTTAAAATGTTGTCCTCTTATATCAAAATACTCATATCACTCAATTTTTTGAGAATCTCAAGCATATGAAACTCAAGGTATAATTTAACAATTGTGAGTATTTTGGGTCAGGACATACAGATTTGTGGATAGAAATTTAGCAATTGTGAGTATTTTAGGTCAAGAGAACATACATACTTGAAGATAGAATACCCCGTATCATTGAAAAAAAGCCGATAAGTGTTTAACAAATTTAAATGACTCCTTCAATGAGAGTATTTGGAATGATTCTGTAATGTTACATTTACAGAAAAATTAACGTGGTTCATATTCATTTTTGATTTATTTTTTGGTAATATGCACTATCAATTCACTGAATTGTTGGTATCATTAATAGTACAAGTTTTAAAAGTAAAGCATTCATGCATGAGGTTCATTAATTTGGTGGTGAAATGATGCTGTAATGTTATATTTGCAGAAAAATTAACGTGATTAATATTTCTTTTTCAATAATGCTGGGTATCATGAAAATAATGTCATGAAAAGTTTTTATAAAGATTCTCTATCTTCAAATTAGATTATAGTGTTTGTAGTGTTTTATTGTATGTTATGCATTCACCCTTAGATTAGTTTCATGAAGTTTTTTGTGATATTTATTTTTTGATTTATTTATTGGTAATGTGTACTATCCATTCACTGAATTGTTGGTATCATTTATAGTACAAGTTTTAAAAGTAAAGCATTAATGTCTGAGGTTCATTAATTTAGTGGTGAGCTAGGGCTTCGTTGTAAGTAGGGTAAGCTAAAAAATGGAATGTGGAAGACAGGAATTTAAGTGGACCAATCAACAAGTGTGAGTACACCCAAGTCACAGCTTATGGTGGTCTGATGTTAGTGGAAATTTGGGGGTCCCTTTCAGAAATTATTTTAACTTTGGAAATATGTTTTATCATAAAAATATATAATTTTATCATAAAATTTTATAACATTAATTATAAAATACGTAATCTCACATCACTACAAATTGGTGTAACTAAAATATATCGTAATTAAGTTAGCATCAATTAAAAAAATTTGGACATTTTTGTTACGCCAATCTATGATAATGTTACGTATTTTATAATTGATATTACGAAATTTTGTGATAAAATTATACATTTTTGTGTTAGAGTGCATATGGTAGCATTTCTTTTTGTTTTTTTTTCCCCCTTAGTTCTTGATGGTGATACATAATTCTCACTTCACAACCAAATAAAAAATTCTTAGTAATAAAATATTTAGTTTATTGGGTAAATTACAATTACTTCCCTTGAGGTTTTACATAATTACAACGGCGCTCTTGTGATTTTTTTAATTGCACTGACTTCCCTTCCTTTTTTTTTTTTTGACATTATCAAATCTTTTTTTCCATCATTTATTCCTTAGATGTAAGGTTTTTAGATAAAATGACAAAATATCTTCACTATAGTTCTACCATTATCAACTTTCCAATTTAAGTTTTTTTATTACTAATTATTTCTCAATATAAGAATTTTTCATTGAAAAAATTAAAAATAACTACATCAAAATACCTACATGTATTTTTAGGATAAATATCTTATTAGAAAGAAATAGGTATTTTCAAATTTTTATAAAAACTCTCGTGTCTCAAAATAGGTATATTTATTAAAAAAAAATTCAAATAGCTATATATGTATCACTAATATATATATTTCAAATTTTTATTCAAACTCAAATGTCTCAAAATAGGTATTTTGAACATAAATTTTTTAACACTAATTATTTCTATGCATAAAATATAAATTAGTATTATTTCTTCTTGGAATTTGACATATTTTATATTTTGTTTTATAATTTTGAATAAAAGGCTGCATTTAATTTAGCATAATAGCCCTGTTTGGTAGAGCTGTGGGAAAGTGCTTATAGCTT